AAGAAGGTTGTGCACGAGTGGCGCATATGGAGGACATTTGAAAATGGAATGAGAGAAACTTCTTTTATTAAGGAATCTAAGAATAATTTATAGAAAATTATGTATTTAAAGATTCTGAATTGTTAAAATCTCCCCTCTGAGGACATTTTCTGCGGCCGTCACTGCTGCTTACATGTTGACCCCTTTTTGGACCTCCACAAAACTCTCTTGATCTCAATTATGAAATGAAATTGCTGTTTTGTGGCAGAAAATAACCTTTATTTTTGCCCTTTATCCGGCAGTAACTAAGATTAGTGCAGTTATCGCTATCACAGCTGCTCATTCTTCCCTCTACCCCACTCACTTTTTTAGATGAGTCAGGCCTAGGGATTTCATTTCTCTATAAAATTCCGTGATTTGATGGCCTAAAATAGCTCAGATGTCCTGTTGGAGCTTTCAATATCTCAATTCAGTTGCCTATGGATGAAGCTGTTTACCAATCTGCAATGGAACTGCAGAATGCGTGTGATGCTAATACACTGGGATCGTATTGTGAAGACAGGTAGCATGAGCTCAGTATTTTCATGTAGCAGGAGTTTTTGAATATTTGAATTGATTGTTTATCTCTTAGAGCTCATGCCACAGAGGACCGTAATTTGCAAACTTTATGGACATTCCTAGCAGCGCTCAGCAATAAGCAAGGTCGACGAGAATATGTGCGAATATTGGGTTACGGTTAGTGGATGCACTTCAAACTATCATAAAACTGCGTTATATATTCGTAAACTCTTTTAAGGTGCGGAAGATTCGGTTTCAAAAGAGTCTCGAGTTTCTCAGACATCAGTAACTTCTAACGAAGTTACTCACCTCACAAATATCATGTCTTCTGCAAATTGCTCTTCACCACGGGTGAGTTATTTCTTTTTTAAAACATTTCTGCTATTGGGATTCTTGATTATGTCACTTGTCGTATTATAGTAATAAAATTCAATGTGACCGAACTTCTTTAGCAAAACGGGCATGATGGTGAATTGGTATCAGATGATGATTCCACGAATGAAGAGCTATTCGCTAAGCAACCGAATCTCGATTGGAGTCGCTTAGGTAAAGGGATATGTTGAAATGTTTAGTGTTGTTGAACTAACATTCGGGTGGGGATACCCAGGTACCCATTAAATTTACTGCTGTGTATCCATAGGAGATCAGCTGTCAGGAGTTTCGCTGCCCAGTAATTAGTGCTATAGCTGAGGACGAATATTCGTGTTTGAATAAAATATCCGAACATTTCGAATGATTTGAATTTTCGATACTCGAATGTTTGAAAAAGCGCATTCACTCAATTTTTCGAATAGTCGAATATTTTGAAACATTGACTTCCGAATATTGGAGTACAAATGGTTTTGGAACTGAGATTCAAATAATATTCGATCGTTTGAAACTCTGCGAAATCATCTATTTGTACGATCGATTATATATCTGCAAAATCATCTATGATTGAGACGTAATTGACTTGACGTTTGACGATCGAATAATTCCATTTCGAATATCTCAGCTATTCCGTTTGATAGTCGCATATTCAAAAAAACGCACTTATCTTGTTATTTGAAAAGTGGGATATACAAGATCTTCAGTACTCGAATTCGATTTCGAATATATTCCAAGTAGCGGTTTAAACAATATTTGTTCAACTAC